CTGCCACGCCCAGTATATCTTTGCCAGAACCATCCTGCCGAAAGAGCCGGTCTCTCTCATTGTGGCCCCCTGTAAGTCCCAGAAACTGCTTTTTTGGGGGGGGGGGGCGATTTGCCATAGCCTTCTGATTTTTATAGAATTTGCTCTGATATATTAACCTGGGTCAATTACAGGTTAGTGAATGTCACAAAATTACATATGGCGCAGTGGTTTGAGGGCTTTGCAGTGTAAATCAAATGTTGCTGGTTTATCTTTAAATGGGGGATGCTGTTATACCCTTGAGCAAGGAAGTCAACTCAGTTGCTCCAGCAGTATGCATCGGTAAGGCCTCATAGGGATCTTTAGACACAAATATAAGGTTACAAAACAGCAAAGGCATCTTTACAAAGACAAATGAGAGAGTTCATTAAGCTCAGTTCATTTTCTTTGCAAGGGACCATCCACTGTGCAGCATTGCTGTCAGTCAGGATGAAAACATATTCGAACAAGCAAGCTGAGATCATATTAATCCTTTCCTATGAAATTCTTATGTATTGTAGGGTTTTTGATGAACAATGAAAATTGCTAGTCATTTATTAGGGCCAGAGGGGTGTCTATGAGCTACGGTGATTTGGTGTTCTGTCTCTTGGGGGCGCCTTTCTCTCTGCAGCAAACTCGGTGGTGCATAACCGCAGGCCTCAGCTGCTACAGCCCCCTGGCTCCCACAGCTCGTTGGTGGCCCTGAGGGGCCAAAGCCTGGTCCTGGAGTGCATTCCCGAGGGCCTGTGAGTGCAGTACACACCTGGGTGTATTTCTATGCCTTAGCTAGTGTCTAAGCCTGCCTGTTTTGCCTGTTTGTTAACATAAATCAGATTCAGTTTGACATAGCTTGAATATACCAATGCTGTTTAGTAATAATATCTTTTATATGAATACAAAGTCAAAAAAACAAAATATAAACCAAAATATATTATTACATGGCTGGGTATAATAACACTCTCCAAGTACTGTGGTGAATGTGAATGGTGTGTTCAGGGTGCGTCCTGTCTGTGCCAAGCGGTTTGGCACATGACTGAGGCCTCATTTGGCCTGTTCAACCTTCTCTCATACATCTGAGAGAATAAAGCTCTTCACACACTGTGGCTTGATCAGAACCATGCTGAGATGCCACTGATTGATGACATTGATGGAAACAGGGTAAAGACCCCAAAATACGCTAAGGAGTTAATTGGCTGTTTGAATAGCAGGATTTACACGAAAATACATTACTTGAAAGGCTCTGAATTTATCATACAATATAT